AATTAAAACGGTCGATCGAGACGTGATCGAAGATGGATGAGACGATGATGAGATGATGACGATGTCCTATCGCGATCGTGAATTATAGCTTTGCCAGTTTTTGTAGTTATCGTGTATTTAATGTCGCGGGAAGCGTGTAAGCTCGATCTCCTTGCGTAATTTCAACATTTTTTTTCGTCGTGTACATTACGCGTTTGGGGGATTTTTGTTTTTGTTTGTTTTCGCCTCAACCGGTTGAAATATTTTCACAGACTTTGAATAGTTGTGTTTTTTTTCTTATTTTTTATTATAATTCGCTTCGAAACGATCGTCGAATAATTTTCAATTTTGCAGCTTTGATGAGAACACGAGTGGTATATTTAATTACATCAGTGTTTCTTTTTTTTTATAAAAAAATAATAGTATCTTACGTCGGGATAGTTTGACGCAAATATACCACACACATATACTTATGATACCACTGATTAATACGTACTGTCAAACGTGCGATTTTTCCCAATGCGATTTACCAATCGAATGACGATCATAAACCCAATACATAGCTCGATCTCTTATTATTTTTGGAATCTGCTGTTGGTCCAAAGCGTCGCGCACGTAGTCGCGCTAATTTTGGCATTTGCGTATCAAAAAAAAGTCGCCCGATGGAGCTAATAACAATATTATTATTATTATTATTATTATTATTGATCGACAGCTACGTGCGCGCGCCGAGCGTGGAATATGATTCATTTTCATATTTCCGTTCGCGTCCACAAGCTGTAAAAACAAACAGGGGTGAAGAAAAAATCGAAGGTGAAATTTATATAACGAACAGTTTCCCGCGAATAATTATGTTATATCGATATACGAACTTCATTGACGAACCTTTTGAGCGTGCGCGGTGACAAAAATGTACATATTATTATACGAGAATCTGCGGGTCAGGTGTATACTAGATATGTACACGCTGATACCGGTTGCAGTATACTCGAGCTAGCTCCCATAAGGATGAAATAAAGCTTCAATATATAGAGAGAGAGAGAAAATCACATCACTGGATGTCGCGTGCTGAGGCCTTCCTTCTAGTACAACATCGTGCAGCAGCGCAGCTCGGCAACGGCTCCCAAGGAAGCGACGCGTCAACGAGATCGTTACGTTGACGGATCCGCTCTGTGGTCTGTATGTATATGCGGTACATAGCCGTACACCACTTGCATGTACACGGGGAGAGCCGTGTGGTGTGCGCGCCGTTCTGGCGACGGAAGTGTCGTCGCGCGGCGCCCGTCTCGCTCTCTCTCCCTCGATATCATCCCGAGCCAATCTCTCTCTCTCTCTCTCTCTCTCTCTCTCTCTCTCTCTTTCACTCGGCTCATTCTCTCATGTGTTCTGGTATTATAAGATAAAGTGCAGTTGCAGCAAAACTCAAAGGCCAGCAGTAGCAGCAGCTTGCGGAGCTGGAAGGTATTAAAGGGGCATATATAATGGGCCGTCGCCTCGCGACGACGACGACCACGACCACGACCACGACCAAACGGACTATTAAGCTCGCGTGTATATATAATACACGTATATATACGCCGATGCGCTTTGATCTGCGCTGCAACTTATTACGGGGATAGTTTATTTGTTGATTTTGCTCAGTGTGGATTTTCGAGGCTGCAGCGGCAGCAGCTTATTTTGCCACGCGAAACTTGTCAACGTACGGGAGCTGCCCCTGTATACGACGTGATTAAACTGCATATCAACGTGCAACGTATAATATACTTGCGGCTCTGCTTATTTTTTTGGTCGGGGTAGGAGAGAGAGAGAGAGAGAGAGAGAGAGAGAGAGAGCTTTGATGAAGATCGAATCGAGTCGTTGAAAGATGCCTTATAAGCTGCGCATATGCCGAACAAAACGAGCACTTTGATTGTATTTATGGAAAACCCATAGTGCAGCTCCGAGTTCGAACTACTTGCACCGGAGCTCGCAGCTTTTCCCCCGGATCTGCAGCAGCGGTGCAGGCACACGTTGAGTAGGCTTGGCCTCGTCTCTGTCTCTCTCTTTTCCTCTTTGCGTTCGTATTTTATAATATAATAATAATCGTCTTGGCACAGCTCGATAATACTATACGCTACCATACGAGCGAGCGGGGAGCAAAGACGGTAATGACGCGTGTATTAAAGAAGGTCCCCGTGAGTGTGTGTGTATATGTGTGCTGTTACAACAAGGCTCGCATGGCTCGAAATAAACGACCGAACGCGCTCGACTCGAGCTCTACGTACAATATAACGTATGCAGTAGCGTGCAGTGATTGATGAGCCTTCCTCATCTTTCTTCCACTCTTTATCCATACTGCACACACGCACACACACACACACACACACACACACACACACACACACACATATACGCGGAGAGAGAGACGTGTAGAATGGCTCGACTGCATACGTACATATAGGTGCGCAAGAGTCGCGAGCGCTCGCATGATGCGAGAAAAACGGCCCTATATAATACGAAAAAGGGATGGTGGGCCGCGCAAGTAAACTTTTGCCGTGTCCTATTTGCGAGCGCGAGAAAGAGACACCTCGACGATTCGTTTACTTGCACGTGTAACGTGTTTGACGCTTCGTTTGCCCCGTGTGTTACGACTCCGCTGCATCTCGTTCTTTTTTTTGTCACCCTTCATCCTCTATCTTTCTCGTCGCTCTTCGGCGCGAGAAATTACACGGGTTTACACTTTTGCCAGCATCAGTTTCACGCTCTCTCTCTCTCTCTCTCTCTCTCGCTCTGTCTCTTTGCTCGTATAATAACGCACTCGTATGTTTATTATATAACTAGGACCTTACATGAACACACAAATCATATCCGTACTCGATCATGATCTTAGGAATTTAAAAATTCGCGGGTCATCTTTCCAAATCCAATGGTCGATCTAAACACGTTCATTTCAAAGACACAATTAAGCCATTTAGTCCGGGCGCTGGTGACATTTGAGTGGACTTACGAGATCCCCTCGGCGACTTGACGGATTTCTATGTTTTTTGGGTCGCTGAAACCGAATTTGAAGGTCGCCAGGCCGAAATCCTGGTCAATTTTTTGTTATAAACAAATTAATTGTTTAAACAGCCATATCTTGAAAAATATTGAAGATAGATTAAAACAATTTGTTTTTATTTTATTCGTCTTTGAAAAACAAAGAAATTCCATTAAATTAATTGAAAATCCGTCCACTAGAAAAAAAGTTATGCAATAATTAGTGTAAAATACGTCTTTTTTCACCTTTCAACATCTGTAACTTTGCTCGTATTAGTGCGATCGAGGTCCTGGACGTCTCATTTTAAAGGTAATAACCTACAGAATGATGTAACATAATTTTTATGTAGGTAAAATTGTTTATAATGCAATCTGTAGACGTGTATAAACGTAATTTTATGGCTCTGACGTACTTTCCATTTGTTTATACGCGTTTTTTGCTGAGATAAATTATTAAAACAACGTGGTAACTTAGTTCAAATGAAAGTGCATCAAAAAACAAACATTTTAAGGGGTTTAGAAAGGAAATCGGTCCAGTAGATGCCAAGTTACAGCCTTCTGAACTAGCGCGTAGAAACCAGCGAGCGCTTAGGGCGTGCACACTGAGGCAACATGAACTCATGAACCAAGCTCAGACTTGTTTGTAACTTGGCATCTACTAGACCGATTTCCTTTCTAAACCCCTTAAAATGTTTTTTTTTTGATGCACTTTCATTTGAACTAAGTTACCACGTTGTTTTAATAATTTATCTCAGCAAAAAACGCGTATAAACAAATGGAAAGTACGTCAGAGCCATAAAATTACGTTTATACACGTCTACAGATTGCATTATAAACAATTTTACCTACATAAAAATTATGTTACATCATTCTGTAGGTTATTACCTTTAAAATGAGACGTCCAGGAGCTCGATCGCACTAATATGAGCAAAGTTACAGAGGTTGAAAGGTGAAAAAAGACGTATTTTACACTAATTATTGCATAACTTTTTTTCTAGTGGACGGATTTTCAATTAATTTAATGGAATTTCTTTGTTTTTCAAAGACGAATAAAATAAAAACAAATTGTTTTAATCTATCTTCAATATTTTTCAAGATATGGCTGTTTAAACAATTAATTTGTTTATAACAAAAAATTGACCAGGATTTCGGCCTGGCGACCTTCAAATTCGGTTTCAGCGACCCAAAAAACATAGAAATCCGTCAAGTCGCCGAGGGGATCTCGTAAGTCCACTCAAATGTCACCAGCGCCCGGACGGAAGTAAAAGAAACTACCTCCCTAAAGCAATATGGGATCATCATTTTTTTGAGAAAGGATTTCATGAAAAACAGATGAAAATCTAATGAAAAAAAGGAAAAAAAAGAAGCAAACAATCGATCGTGCATGAAATTTTTCACGGTCAAAGTATAATATAAGAGAGAAGCTGCCGAGTGGAGGAAGAGGAAAGGATAGATGTACTTACATCGTCGCCGAGTCATACTGTGTGCGTGTATAATAGCTGTGAGTGCATTTTCGTCGAAGCCCACGGACCAACTTTACAGCAGGGAATTCCGAGAAATTGGCTCGACATCAACCCGACGACAACAATATCATTCGAATCATCGATATGTACAAGACATAACACACGAGCTCTCGTACACACACACACATGTGTACACCCCACAGTCTCTCAAAGTGATACAGGTCGTAGCAGAACTTCTCTCTCTCTCTCTCTCTCTTCATCTCTTTCAACGTTTCATGTCGAGTAACTAAAAAAAAGGAGTCGAAAGCCTTGCGTTTCGGAGCGATATATTCTCTCGACTCGAGATCTGTCGTTATGTATACCGTTCGCGCGGGGGCACGATGCCGGAAAGGAATTTGATTTTGAAAGAGCGAATCATGAAAATCATGAAAAAAAGATAAACGCATCGCCTAAGTCTACACTCAGAGAGCCACAATCAGATCGATCGCATCCACCCTCACCTACTCGAAATTAATTATGTGCTCAATTAAAATTGTCGTTAAATAACGAAGAAAAAATTGAAGAATTTATTTGACTATGTTGACTACTTTGTGAAGACATTATTTGGTTATAATACGGTCATTATATGCGACAGGCCTCCCCAGTGCAACCTTGTACGAAACTCGTTTCTCGGCCGTGGAATGCCCAATTGATAACGCGAAAAAATCCACCTGCCTCTCTCCCTCTCTCTGTTTCTCTCTTGCGTCCGTTTGTACACTCGTTATTTTCATTCGGCATGGCACGACGTGTGTTATGTAAGTGCCAAAAGAATTTTAATTTTCCACTCTCGAGTAAAGTCCATAATTGTACACGAAGAGATCGTAGATGCCTTGATAGAGCGTCAGTGCAGCCTGTGTGTGTATAAAAGAGAAGTCAATATCGGAATATATTATATTATTATATACATCCAGATCTCGGATCTCCGATATATAAAATCACGAGATCATTACGTATTTTCGGGATCGACACTTACGTAGATCGTGAAGATGCCGTACATAATGAAAAGGCCGATGGCTGCCAACATTTTCTGACTTGCCGCTGCTGCTGCTGGTCAACGAGCGTTTCTTCGGTGGCTCGGATAATACTGCCGTGTTCCGTAAAAGACAGTATATTTACGAGCTCGCTTAGCCAAAGTGTCACACACACACACAGACACGAGCTTCGCTTATCTTAATTATTCCGAGACGATAGTGAAAACAGGCCTCGCGCGAGGAAGGTTTAGTCGCGCGCATTCGTTACAGTTTCGAGCTCGTTAATAGCTGGCCGATATACCTAAAAATATATATAAGTTATAAATTTATATTTCGTAATATTATAACGTATTAAATTAAAAAACTTCATTATCATTATCTGGTTTAATTTACAAATTTTGTCGAACCTATCGATTGATTACCATAAATCGGTCATAATGGAGAATGTTCAACATTAATTTGTTCTGTATCTTCTCTTCGAAAAAAAAGAAGATGAAGAAATTAAATTATCATCGTTATTGAACCGATGTAGGAAGAAACATTTGACGTTACTTCACCGAGGCGATTGTTAATTCACAATGCCGGACGCGAGCATAGGTGCTTCAAATCCCTTGTAATGAACTGCGTCAATATACAAAGTGGCAACATGGTATTATGAGCTAATTGATATTCTTTGTCGATCAAATCTCGTGTGTGTGACACCTGAAGGTTCTCGTATGAAAGTGGACGTATTTGAAAGAGAAGAGAGAATTATTACATTCTGATTTTGAACCATGATAGCATGTACTTGAGTCATATCTATGTATAAAATGCTTCCAGTGTTACGTCAAAAATTCATCAATACATTCAACGATCTGTACTACAAATCTTCGATTTCTAATAGACATTGGATTTCCCGCATATATTTAAGATATGTAGTTTAAGAAAAATTGTAAAACTTCATTAGAATACGAGTGTAATAATAAGCGGGTCGTATAATGATGCTTGAACGACAGTGCATATACTGTACGGTATGGTATACATTCGACTTGAGGAGTGCACGAGAGGTCCGTTAAAGTGATATACGCGTTTTACGCTCGATTCGGATGTATACGCACCTCGCGTTGTGGATATTAAAAACAATATATAATGTAGGCGATTTATGTCGAGCGGCGGCGATGCGGTTGCGCGTGATTTTATTTCTCCTTCTCGAGCAAGAGCGTTAAGTGCCTAAAAAAAAAGAGAAAAAAAAAGAAAAGAAATAAAGCTTAGATTGGCGAAATGCTTATATGGCTTTATTACCCCACGCGTCGAAGGACTTTATCATCGTGCGCATTGAATCGTCGTTCGGACGCGTAAAAAGCCGCTGGATTATTATTGTATATAAATATAAAATCCATGCGAGCCTACATCGTGGTTAATAAACCTCGACGTTTGAGCTGTAATAATACGTGGCCATATACATCGATTCTCCATACGGCGCAAGACGTCGTAAATACTTTTAATAAACAATTATCGCAGGTATACACACACGCGGAGTAATTTACCGCGTGCACGACGATGACCGAGCTCAACAAAAATTCGAAACATCCGTACGCGAGATACTACCGTGGAGAAAATTATATTATAATTACGCCATTGTACGTGGTGCGGCTCGAACGTGTATAGCGCTCGAGCTTAAGTGAGCACAATATATATACCGCGAGAAAAGAATCGATCATCCCGAGCTTATAACGCGATCAGCGGAGCATAATAGATAAACAAATATGAGCCGCGCAATAGCAAGACGATCCTTAAACGCGCTCGCGGTCTGGTATCCTTTGATGATCGTCCGCGATGACGAAGAAATACACACGCGCGCGCGCATACACGATCGGAACGCGAAGAGGAAGAAGTAGTATATAGAAGCCTTTGAATGGCTGATTGGCTCGTGCGCGGCCGCTAAACGTTATATACTTATATAATGTAAGCGCAACTGCACTAGCGCACGATATCTAGTCGGCACAGCTCGAGCTGCGAGTACATATATACACAGGCGTACGCGACTTTATGGAGTGCGCCATCGATGATTCCTCGTGCGACGCGGGGTTGTCACTCGATCGCGACTAGTCGAGCTTTTTATCTCGAGGACGAGCCGACTATGCAAGGCTACGTTCATCGTCCACTAAGGAGTCTTTCGATCCCCGAGTGCTCGAAAAGAGAACTTTTTTTTGGAGGCCTTGAACTTTAGGAAATTTTGAAAAAAGGTCAAAATCGTGGTCGATACGATTTTAGAAAAACTAGTTGATAGATTAATATGAAAAGTTGAAAAAATCGTTTGAATTAAAATGAGGATTTTTCACGGAATGAAACTAATTGGTGAAAATATGTCGAAAAACTTACAGTTTTCCGGTCAAAAATCGCTTGAAAATCGTAAAATTCTCAATCACTTTTCTTCATTTTAGTTGTACATATGTACTATGATCAGTTAAAATTTCAAATCGCTGATGAAAAATTATAAAAAAGTATGCATAACTTAAATCGCAGTTTTTACCACTAGAGGGCGAGTATCTTCATTTGTAAATCCGCAAGTGGTAGGTTGAAGATAATTGTAGATGTCGAAGTAGTTTCGAAAAATTTAGCGTAGTTGGTAATATTTAATTCTCCTTATTATTTTTAGTAAAACCTCCGACACATCTCTGTAAAAGTGTATCGCTACTCAAATCTTCGTATGTTGGTGTTATAGCTTCCAAAACATCTTTAGGTATAGCAATGTAACTATGTTTGAATCCTCTTAATTTTCCTTCAGCAGATGACTTTTGCCATTCACACCATGAATCTACACCGCTTGTACATTTTTGATGTTTTGGAAACTCATCTGTAGAACTGTAGTGATCATATGTCGCTCACATTGCAGTTCTCATTTTTTCTACCGATTCTTGATTTCGACCAATCCATAATATATGGTTGATTTCTCAATTATTTTAGCAGTAAGTTTGCCTTTGCCAGATATCACTTTTCTTTTTATTTTTTCTTCAGTTGAAATGACAGTATCTTCAACCGTATTTTTGACAAGCTCTCGCAGACGAGTACCTATTCTTTTTTAAACGTGTCCAACACATTATTTTTTATTGATTACAAAATCTTCGCCGCATGTTTTTGAATTCAAAACGCCAGTATAAGTTTTAGAATCACCGTCGCCTAGAACCAAGAAATAATATTAATTATGAGTTTCTAGTGTAAAACCTATGAATAAAAGCGAAAAAAGCTAAGAATGCGTTATACGTAAATATGCTCATAAAAAAACCTTGCACTAAACTGTCCATAGCTCGATGAATTTTACTTTAATTGACTTAAAAATTTTACTGAATACTCTTATAGGTATACTAAATCCAAAAATACAACAACAAAAAATCGATTTTTTTGTGGAACAATAGTGTACCTTCCCCCCCCCCCCCCCCNCCCCCCCCCCCCCCCCTAAAGAATCACACGCGCTCGAAATGTATCATCCTTGAAAAGGCAAAGCTATGCAGGCCTACGAAGAAAAGCTGCGTTTTACAAAGTAGACGCGATAAGTTGTGAAAAGAAGCTTCGAAATCAACGATAAAAAACGCTCGTCTATGCAGCGGCACATTGGTTTTCATATCGTATGCAACAAATGCCAAGCAAGTACGTCGAAGGAAAAAGGAGAAGAAAAGAATCAGCTCGAACGTCTTATTTTGAACGCGGATAAACAAGTGCTTCGGGCGCATTTTAATGTAAAGCGCGCAAGCTTTCTTTTTCTCCGAGCGATTATTATTATATTTCTCGTTGTATTTCTTTTTTATGGCCGAGCTTGCGTATATGATACGCGTACAATACGATTTGGCTTGACTTGGAGATAGACTTATACAGTCAGTTCGAACAATGTGGAGTTTAACAAACACACACACACACACACGCGCCGCAAAAAAAAATAAAGGGATAAAAATGAAGAATTCCAATAAGACAATGAGCGACGAACGATATATACGTGCGGTTTCTTTAGGTCGCTCTCTTTAGAAGAACCACCACCACCACTTCTGCAGCAAACACGTGAGTCTAAGATCGTGTATATGTGTAAACCCGCTATACGATAGTCTCGAGGTTTAGACTTCTTTTTTTCTGCCTCGGCTGCCGCGCGCAAGCCCGCGAGAGCATTCGCACGATGATATATTTACGCGAAGCGGAAAATTATAAATAATGACGAGCTCTCGCTACCTCGGAGCTTCCTCGCGGGAGCTCTATATATACCATTATGTATACACAATATATTGTACAGTTGTGACCGAGTGGATGTATTGTATTTATTATTTTTCGTCTTGTATGTGCCCTCGAAGTGTAACGAGGATATCTCAAGATAGTCGCGCGCATTGAAAGACGGCAGCTACGACGACGACGACGACGATGACGATATATAGTCGTTATAAGAACAATGAGATATAACCGGGAGAATATATACTTTACTTGGTCGCTCTCGACGACGAAGACGTACCTTTTACACGGATATGTACCTGCGACCTCCTGTATACATATGATATAATATCAATAATGCTCGCCGCGCTTCGAGGCTTACAATGAGCATGTGTGGAGTTTTTTACTTACTTCTTTTTCCAGCGTACCTGCCATCGCGAGAGATAAATATCCGATGCTTATTTCTAAGCAGCACGAAAAATTTAATTCTCCGCGCGCTCGCGGCGATTTAATAACGATGACGCAGGCACGCGCGTGCAGCCCTGCAGCTACGAGAGCTTTTAGAGAGTGCGTATGTATTTTATTTTATATATCTATGTATAAAAATGCGCGCGGATCGATGCACATTATACGCATCGGAGAAACATTTACGGAATCGAGCAATTTCTCTCTCTCTCTCTCTCTCTCTCTCTCTCTCTCTTTCTTGGCTCGACGCGCGTATACGTATGTATGTATACGTAAGAAAACAATAAAAGCAGTCGCGAGTGTGTGCTATATACTCGGCGCGCAGCAGTACAGCCGGGTGGGAAGCTCGTTAAGCGCTACCTACGCGCGCGTTTGTCCATCAGCACGTAAACGAACTGACAAGTGCGCGGCCATTAAGAGAGCAGAGCTAGCCGCCGCCGCGACGGGGTCCACTACTATACTGCAGCTTCGCCGCTGCCCTTTTCTCTCTT